TGGGGGGGGGGGGGGGGTGATGCGGGCAAAGGGTGGGGATTTGACAAAAAGTTGAAATTTTGGGTAAAATTTCCACAGGTGGGGAGACCAATATGAAACATATGTATTATCATCTCCGTACTGAAAAACAATTGATACAATATTATAGCCCAGAGGCAGCAGACAACTACTTATTGGGTTTAATGCCTCACTGCTTCTTGTAGAATCTTCAGAAATGTCAGTCAAATGTCCCACCCCCAGATAACATTGATGTTCAAATTCCCGACGGAGCGGAATAACCGAATAAGAGTCCAATCGATCCCCAGCCTTTGCATTGATACTGCTTCCTCCGCAGGCCCTCGTTGCGTCATGGGAAGGTCACACACAACTGATCTGGCGAGGGCCTGCGGAATCTTGTTAAAAAAATGGTCAGCAAGTAAATTTATACGGCATAATCTTGAATATTAGCAACCAAACAGGCTATAAAAATAGGTACGCTAAGCGTACATGTATCTGCTCATGGTGATGCACTGTTGCCAAGGGCTTCAATCAATACTCAGTAGCTTGTAAAAATATTAAGAGACTGATGTTTAAATGAATATATTTTTTATAAACATCACAAATATATATATATTATAGACATTATACACAGTTAAATGAGGTTAGATTCATAGTATGTCAGATGAAATAAAAAATAGAATGGCTGATATACTGTATATTCAACTTGCAGAAACTAATTCCGGACATAACTTAATTCACAAAGATGTTATTCAGTGATGATGTTCTTGTTGAATCATTTCAGTTTTATAATGTTCTCGTTAAAACATGTCGGGTTCCAAATCTTCTTAACAGTTCATAATAAATTTTAGCAGGCATGCGAGAACATTGTAAATGCATAGATGTTGTCAGGATAACAGATGTTGCCAATATACATTAGAATGCCGTTTTTAGGGTTTGTAATCCAAGTGAGTATATATATACCTTTAAGACCTGACCAGGAACGACTGCATGGTGGAATCAGGGTGGATGAAGAAGGGAGAATCCTCTCCAGGATATATAGTTATATGCTGCAAGTTGATAATTATGACTGGTTGCAACTGTTACTATAAGTATTGATATTCCAATCTGAAGCTGAATCTCTGCTCTTTATGCAGCCACTATTTCTTTGGCTTTGCTTTAATGAAAGCAATTAATCATACTGCTTTGTGATCAGAGAAATGTTTTCAATATGTGTGACTTAGCTTGTGACTCTGCTAAATTTGTATAAAAATGATTTATCAAAGTCTGGTTGTCCGTAATGAAAGCAGACACCAATTGTCTATAGTTATGATTTATTTATTTATAAATAAATAAATATAATAAATAATTAAATAAAATGACCCCGTAACCCGAGGCAGGTTTGCGGAATCCGCAAACCTGCCGAGGGTAAGGGGTCATTTAATCACTACAGTTAACAACAACTCAGGGATCGGATGATAGACTATTGACGGCTCAGAGCTAACTCTCTGGAGCTAACAGCTAACTGTTGCTGTTCCTTGCACGATTCTGTGCGTGAGGCACTTGCTTAAAGGTCCAGTTACACGTGCGATTTTTTTCTCGCGCCGGCAACGCAGGTTACGCAACGCCTTTGCAACGGGTTAAATTTCATTGCGTCACTCGCGCGAGTGAAGTGGTGACACGAGCAATGATAGCTTAGCCGCGTCGCAACTATTTGCATGAAAAAACCGGGCACTAGTGTTTCGCAATTCGCAAACGTCATGTGAAACGGATGTGGAACGGAACGGATGGGGTTAAAATGTGGAACGGAACGGATGGGGTTAAAATGCGGAACGGAACGGTTATGGGTTTTAAATTAAGTTTTAACCTCATATTCGTTCCGTTCCGCATTTTAACCCCATCCGTCCGTTCCGCATCCGTTCCACATCCGCTTCCGCATTTTAACCTAACTCTGTCTGTTCAAACATATATAGTTATTCAGTTGAATCAATAGGGAAAAGCATAGTACACGAATAATTTAAACACAAGTATATCTTCAACCATTCAACCTTAGTGTGTATATTGAAGTACATGAAGTACCATTCTCGTACCCAGAGCCCTTCTTGCGCTCGGTGCAACGAGGGGCTCTGGCCAAATCCATATCCGAACTGGCATCTGATTGGCTAGTTCTAACGCCGGATATTGTTTTCTTACCATGTTTTTATGGTATCCGGTTATGGATTTGGCCAGAGCCCCTCGTCGCGCTCGGTCGAACGCGCGTAAGAAGGGCTCTGGGTACGAGAATGATGAAGTACCACTGTGTTTACCCCACTTTGCAAGATGGCGTCGCGAACCCCGAAAAGGCGTGTTAACTTGGATAGGTTTGCCGGTTTGGGACTTTACTGTTAAATTAATTGATAGCCATGCAAAATTAATATTTTGCATAACAACAACATCCTTGCATTTATGACATTCCTTCTCAGTTCATTGCACAAAAGCATTCTTCAAACACATGTTTAAAATAAATATACTGTAGAGCAACTTTTGAATGTGATGTGTTGTGTTTTTTAAGCCCGCCGCACACGAGCACACTTGTCGCGGGTATACTTGTTATTCGTGACAAGTTGGATCGACAAAATTTCCTCGTGTGCGGGTAACATTTACGGCATTTTCGCCATTCGTGTTTGATATTGGGTTTACATGTCACGAATGACGAAAATGCCGTAAATGTTGCCCGCACACGAGGAAATTCTGTCGATCCAACTTGTCACGAATAACAAGTACGGGCCAATACGCGCGACACTAGTGCGCTCGTGTGCGGCGGGCTTAAGGTGAAGTAAAACGAGCGACAATTTGAAGCAATGACTGCACATATGCAGACTGAATATTAATGCGCTCATAGCTGTTTTTATATAAACGTATGTCAGTCTAAACATTTAAATTGACATGTATTATGTCGTATGAATGACAACAAGCCAGAGGCTTTATATCCATACTAAACGAACATGGATGTCTGTTTAGACTTATATATAGTTATTGAATCAAAATTGGGAGATGTATGCAGACTGAATATTAATTCATGCGCTCATAGCTGCCTTCTATATAAACGTATGTTGGGAGAAGCATTAAGGCCCATTCAGTTCCACTCACTCAGGAACATTTTCCGCAGAAAGAAAATTTTGTAAAATGTGATTGGCCTACACAAATTCTCCATCGGAGAAATATTTTGAAGTTGAAAATTTTTGACTTTTAACAATGATATTTTCGGAAAATGTTCTGTCCGTGGAAATTTTTCTTGAGCCGGAAAATGGGCCTAAAAAATTTTTGGTCTAAAAATATATGCACGAATTAGTACTGTATACTAATTTTATACACATGAATATCTTCAACCACTATTAATTCAACCATATAGCGTGTCATGCCCAAGTCAGTAGAGAGGTTAAGATACCCCGGTTTCGGTGTACGTGTACGGGTAGCATGATTTAGTTAGCAATATTTTCGTCGATGTCTGTACCTTTTCTCGTAATTAAGGTGCACATTTTTCGCATTATATCATTGTCTATTGCAAGAAAACAGAAAAAGTATGATCGAGTTATACATCTGCAGCAAAACAAGATGACACTACTCGTACCCGTACACCGAAACCGGGGTATCTTAACCTCTCTAATAACGCACACAACATAATGTCTGTAATAAATTGAACAGTATTTCACTAAGGCTTCAGTTACACGATACCGGTTCGCATCGGAGCGACATCAAATTTCACTGCTTCGACTGTGAATTTGGCACTTAAAATTATGATAATATATATAACAACGTTAAACAAAAGCTTCAAATATCAACAGTTGTAAGAGCAGACACAGGCATTAAAATACGGAATTTTTACAAGGACACACTTTGCCTTCAAAGGCGTATTTTTGGTATAAATGCGCAGACTCAGGAGAACTCGAGGGGCGAAGCCACAAGTTTAGCGTCGAAG